CTTTGGCTTTGTGCACCAGGCTCTCTAAATGGCGGAGCATAAAGTCATATGCCTCCAGGGGTGTGTCAGGCTGAGTGGAGGAGACGTTCTCGCACTCTGCCTCTGCAGCTTTTAGAGCAAGGGTCAGTTCTCTTTCACCACATGAGGCCCATAATGTCTCCTGGACAAGGTGCTTTACCTCTTTTAACTTCTGCTCACACTCTTTCTCCGTCTTCTCTATGTCAGCTCTCTGTTGGTCGCTTAACTCAGGTGCGCCCTCTGCTTCGGTTCCTTTGCCCTGTGCAATGTAAGCAGCCTCAAGCTCCTCATTTGCATCCATCACTTTAGCGCCCTCTGCTGTGAGTCTTTTGAAGTTATCTTGCAGCTCCTCCACAGACATCTCCATGTGGGTCCTCGTTATATGGTTGGTGAGTCGGGAAAAAAGTCTCTTTACTGTAGTTCGCTCTGTTTTCAGCTCTTCGAGTGACTTGGACTCGGCCATGTTGCCTTTTTTGGCTGTTGGACTGACAGGTGAACGGCAGGTAGTTGATTTCCTCCAGGCCCCCAGGTGGAGTCTTCTCCCTCTTTGTGGTGGGCTCTTGTGGAGTCTTCACTTGTCACGGCCGGTTTCCTACTGTCAGGCCGGTTTTTCACTGTCAAGTGTTTCTTTTAACTGCGAGGTGTCCACACTTGACAAGGACCAGACTTCGGATTTCACTCAGAATAATTTATTTGAATAATTGAACAGGAGTTGAACAGTATAGGTGAAAAACCTTTAAACACAGAAATAAAAAGCATTTTGAATAAACAGGTATTTCCACAGTAAACACAAGTCAAGGTAAATATTTCAAAAACGGTAAGTATATTTAAATTCAATATTATTCTTCACATTTCACCAAACTAATTATGCATTTAATTAATCTTTAACAAACCAATTTTGGCTTACTATTTAAGCATTCTTTTACACAAATTAGGTAGAAAACCCACACATTTTAACCATATATATCCATGCATTTGAACATAGTTTCTCCCTCTCTTCAACCATGCAGCGACAACTTTAACACACCCATATTAACACCTAAACAGAAAAGATTTAAACAACATTCAAGTGAGCTTACCGATAGCCCGTCAAATCAAAAGTCTCATTCCCCGCAGTGGATGTGTGCTGCTCATTCCGTCATGTCAGTCCCTTTCCACCAGCCAAATGACTGCGTTATATGCTCCCGCTGATTGAAGTGTGTGCGAGCTTCTGATTGCTCAATCTAATTCACCTGGTCGAGGATGCGCCAGGGCGCACGCACGGTCACACGCGGCTGCCGATGCAGAGCGGGGCGGCACGCAGGTGAGACGGCATGCAGGAGGAGGCGGGCACACGGGAGACAGGCGCACCTCTGCCAGATCAGCGCGACAGACTGGTAAAGAAAATAAACTGCCATACTCCCACAGACTGCAGAACAGAGGTCATGATATTAGATTACAGTTACATCTTTTTAAACACTGAAGCTTCCTTCTGAACAGTCAGCTCTAGATCCAATTTCCCTTGTCACAAAACAGCTCAGGGAGTGTGAAAAAAAATTATTTAAATTTAACTTGACACAATTAAACAATGCAGTGTGGAAGTGAGCAATATCCTCAGTGAGAGCAAAGCTTGAATGTGTGAGAGACACTATATGTGCTGTGGAGGTGTTAGATGGAGACAAACTCAGCAAAACAATGTACAGGATGGATGCCAGCTGGAAGAGAGCGAGAGATAATGGGCCAGTCTTGTACACGCTTTAGGGTCCAGGCAGATCAGGTGAGATACATCACTGAAAACCCTCCCAAGTGAGATGTTTAAGTCTGACCGCCACAAAAACACCAATAATAACAAAGACCACCACACCTAGAATTTCCCAGCTGCTGCGAGCATCATTGACTTCTACAATCTATAAAACCTCTTATGATTTCTAAGATATAACAATATGAACCATTGACAGGATGTCACAAGTAATCAAATAACTTATGAAATAGAACAGAAAGTGTCCCATTGGAGCTACTGGTTATAATGCATTGTATTAAAAGGCACCTCAGAAGTAATTGTCTCAGCCACAAAGAAAAACTGATTTGATTAACTCAAAAGAAAAGTTAATCGATGGATCCTCCCTTAAGGGTTGAATGATACAGTTTCAGCAGTGGCATCACCACACACTGAAAACTGTCTGCACTTAAGCAACTCTGATAAAGCAGGAGTAGGCAATTTATTTCAGAAGCATTTTCTGTTATTTGTTGAAATTCTCTTTACATTCCGAAAATAAATCCGGTATCTGAGGCTGTCGCATGACTGTGATAAGCACAGCCTACCAGACTGTCTACTTTCAAAATCTAGCTGTCTGTTGATAGTTTCTCTAACGTTACCTACCCCAGCTTCAAGGCTAATCTTTTTGTTTTAGGCTGTTTCGCAGGTTTATCAACATGCTCACAAGGAATCTGATGCCACACCGCTCCACAACGACATAGTATTCATATTTTCTTATTTTCAAAAATGAGACGATAGCATTGAGGTGCAAGTAGTGCGTATTATTGCACAGCCAACCTGCTACTGGACAGACACATTTGGTTGTTGACACACTGGAACATTTTAGTTTCCTTGCAGGAGCCGTCCAAATCTTGTGAGCTCAGTTTTCAAAAGATAATGAGCCTTCAGTTGGAAGTGGACTAAACTATGGGGGAGTAAAATTATTTTGACTGGGCATTGTAAATATAAACTCAAGCGTCACTGTGCAACTGAACAGCATATTTTCATCCACAAATATATTCAGATAACTGATTGCAGGGGATATTATAAGGCAATAGGACCAGTTGTTCCTGTTCTTACTGTGTGTGAAACATCCTTTAAAGTTAAGAGTGGGGGCAATAATCTAATCAGATGCATCAACACAAGTTGATGGCTCCTGTAACAAGAACACTTATTTTGTGTTTTGGGAATGAGGAAACAATGTTTACGAGGAAGAAAACAACATCATGTGCTTCCAGCTTTGATTACTGATAGCTTGCCTTGATGAGGTCACTCTTTGGAGGATGGTGCAGTGCTACTACAACCTAATTATTTAAATTCTGTGTTGTCTAAAATATTTTTACAGTGGTGTAAGAATGATAGAGATCATTTTTGTACTGGTTGGTGCAAAGCTAATGGTGTTTATTGAATGTCGTTCATTTTAACAAACATTAAATCAAGCCTCGAGATATTATGTATAGTAATAGTGACCAGCTCTACCAGTTAGCTGAGCTGGAAATGAGCCATGGACTTATTATTTATGCACGCGCTATACTGCAGGTCAGGGTGGATTTTTTGCTGGCTATTTCTTCCTTGTAATTCTATTGTATGTGATCAGTAGCCAGAAATGTTGTCTGGCTACTGTAGCTCCCAAAGTTACACTCATTACTGCTGGCTGTAAGTCAGAACCAGTAATTGAGGAGGACTGTATTCTGCTTAGAATAGGTCACTTTTTTCTAAGCAGCAGTCAAAACAGGTTACAGATACAGCCACAGTTTATAATCAATCTACCCTGAGTAGTGGTACCTATGAGAACTTATAATCAACACCTGACAATTATTTTAGTTTTGAAAAAGTGGGCAAAAACTATTTAGTTTTAATATACGCTTTTTAAAAAAAGTCCACCGATTGTACACATGAAGTTCAGTTTACTTATTATAAGAAGTACGACTATTCTTTTTAGGCTCTGAAGGGAGCTTTACAAAGCTCTTGTCTGGTTATCAAGGCTCTCTACACTTTTTAACAAAAAGGAAGGAAGGGTCTGATGAAAGTTGAAAATTTAGATGATTGAGCGTTTTTGGAGCTTCACCCATACAGACTAATAGTCAAGATTGTTCGGCTTCTGCAGCTTCGTTTGTGACCATCCCTTTTAAAATCTGGCTCTTGCGAGTGCCTTAACTTTATGGAAGTGTAATACTGTAACACTGAAATGCATATTTAATTTGGAATTTGAAGTGTAAAAGTAGTTTCTCTGATATTCACTGAAATAGTGTTCATATTGTTGAACTAATCAGTCTATTGTTGTCTGCATGACAAGGACATGTGAGAAATACCTAAAGCTAGAATGTCAGAAAACACTTATGGGGTCAGCTAAATTACTCTAAGCTAGGGTTATTTTATTAAATTCAACTTAACTGTTGTCTAATAGAGCAATTATCTTTAATATAAGTAATTTCAAATGACATATTTTTAGGTCAAACATAGTTTTGAAACCTTAGAGAAAACAAGGTGTTTCAGGTAAAATGAAGGAACCCTTCTCATGATGGCTCAGAGGACAGCAGAGTGAGGGGCTCCACAGACAACACACTAGAGACTGTAGGGTCAGCAAGGATTTTAACACATATCAGATGATACAAACACCACAAGGCTATGATCAAAATCCTGGGTTCTCCCTAAATTAATTTATATGGCTCACTATACGTGGGGAGAACAAGTATTTGATTTGATTTTGCAGGTTTTCCTACTTACAAAGCATGTAGAGGTCTGTAATTTTTATCATAGGTATACTTCAACTGTGAGAGACAGAATCTAAAACAAAAATCCAGAAAAATCACATTGTATGATTTTTAAATAATTAATTTGCATGACATAAGTATTTGATACATCAGAAAAGCAGAACTTAATACTTGGTACAGAAACCTTTGTTTGCAATTACAGAGATTATACGTTTCCTGTATCAAATACTTGTTCTCCCCAATGTATGTTCGAAAAAATATTTTGTAAAAAGGTATGTGTTGTATCAAGCAGAACGATGGCAACATGCCTTATTTTGTGAATAATTGGTGTGTTTTTCAGTATCTTTTATGCAAGTCCCCTATTATGTTTTAGGAACCTTATACTACCATTTTGTGAAGGTTTGAATCTAAAAACTTATATGCTGTTGATGTGTTGTAATATTATAATAACTCCTACTTCTGGATTTAAAAACAAAAATCTCAATTTGCCCAGTTATGATGAGTACAGAAGAATAAAAAAAGAAGACACTCACAGCTCCAGGATCAGGATGACCTCTGCCTTGTTTTCAAAGACTTCGTGGAGCATGATGATGTTGGGGTGCTGGATCTCCTTCAGGATGCTCACCTCTCGCTCGATATCCTCCCTAGTCACCCCTCTGCGACTCGACTTGCTGCGTCGCTTCTTGATGAATTTGGCGGCATACTCCACGCCTGTACTCCTGTGCCGACATCTTCTGACCACAGCAAACTGGCCACTAGCAAGGGGAGGAGAAGAAGAGATTTTCAAAGGTCCATCTAGCCATGAAACATTAATACTGAAATGAGAATAATCTCCTAACATGCGCCTCTGAAGATTACTCAATTAACACATTATATTCTAATTTGTTTAATTCAAACCGCAGAGGTGCTGGTAGACTTTTTTTGCAACCTTTCGACAGAGAGAAGGAGCCTGATTCGACTGCCAATGTCACAGTCGAATCTTTGCAGAGGCTTCAAGGATCGTGGCATTTTGGCTTTACGAGGGTGCTCATTGACTTTACATAGAACTACAGATTTTCTCCCAATAAGTTAATATACAGTCTATTATGATAATACATGAAAAGAAATAGGCTTTTAATAAATCTTTTTAAAGTCCGTGAATAAATCCAAAATTGAAACCCTAACCTTTGAGGAAGGGGGTCAGTGTGCATATGTGTGTGTGTGTGTGGAATTGAACAATATGTGTGTAACAAATAGATCGGAGTGAATTAATCAGTCAGCTGCTACAACACTTGGGTTCAAAGATTCTCTCAGAGTAAACGTAAATGCTCTGTATTTGTATAGCGCCTTTCTATTCTTTGTAACCACTCAAATTGCTTTTACACTACATCGCATTCACACACATTCATACCACTGAGCCTATGTGCTCAAACATTCACATTCACACACCGGTGGAATAGCCACCAGTATCTTGCACAAAGACACATCGACATGCAGCCTGGAGGAGCCAGGCATTGAACCGCCGATCTTCAGATTAACAGGCAACCCGCTCTATCTCCTGAGCCACAGCCGCCCAATAGAGTTCACCAATTAAAAAACTAACTTTTAGCGGTGACTGTATCAGTTTCAAACTGGTAAACACAAACAACTGACCCAAACAGAGTGGGTGGGATTATAAGGCATTAACACTGTTTATCAGAAATAGCTTTAATTAATAACTAGCTGATGCATCATGGCTGACACTGTCTGGAAACAGAAATTGTGATGAATGCAATGAATAAAGAGGCTAGTATTCAGATCTACATCAGGGCAACATTAGGTGTTTCGGAGACTTACTCTAATATCAATCAAAACTGTATGTTCTTCTGTTACATACATAAAAATGATAATCCACGTGGGGTTATATCTAAAACCTTTTGTCCTCTTTTGAGCCACAAATTGGTGTCTAAAAAAAATAAAATTAAAAGAAGGATTCGTGCATCCTTATGAAGTACAATATCCCCCAACTTCCTTCACCCTCATCATCAGTTTGACAAAAGTCAGCAGAGCTCCCGCTGTCAGCAACACACTGATAAGAATCATAGCTCTGCACAACATCAACACAGCGGACACACATCCAAGCGTAGTAATCCACACACTCAAATATTCACTTGTCTTAGGAGGTCGTTACTGCTTATGTAAGATGCGTTATTGCCTACAATTAAGTTGTTTAAATGGTGTCAGTTGTAGAATATTAGTATTTTGTACAGTAAGATCTAAAGCTGGATACAATGTACACAGTTAAACATTTCATCTGAGGAAGTAAAAGGGGTTAAATTTATGTTTTAGAATGAAACTCTCTGGAGTGAGTAAATAACTCAATCAACTCAAAAAAAAGCATGTTTTCTTGTCAGCTAAGAAATGAATGAGACAAAGTTTTTGATATTCAAGGAATCATTTTAAGTCATTGTTTAAACGAAAAATACCACAGATTCACTTGTTCTAGCTCTTTAAATATGAATATCTTGGGGTTTTTCCTTCATTTTCTGACGTGTCGACTCCACATGAAGCAGCAGTATGACAAAATGTTCCCCTCTAGGATAGACAAATATAGGTTGTGTCTAATTTTCACCAGAACGGTGTGGATCCAAATGAGAAACATTTAATCATTCCTGTGCACACATATCAATTCTCTCACCTTCCCAGGTGTTTCCTTCTATACCTCAGTGTTAACAGGCTGCAGCAGACGGCTGAAATACACATAAGCACTTTTACTGTCTAGGCATTCCAAATGTGGTGAGCCTGCGTGACATATTACTCTATGTATGAACAACACAGGAGTTGTTATGGAAATTCCTCCATCATGTTGCCATGCAGAATTGTTGTTGAACGCCACTATCTGGACTGGATAACGTGTCACTCAACCAAAACACTGCCAGAAAAACCACTTGGGGAAGCAAGGACACTTGGCTGAGGGCTGTTGAAGCCTCTGCCGATTGTGCCTCCTCACGGCCCTGGCAATCATGAAGCACTTAGTGTACCAAACGCCCACAGAGGGAGGGAGAGAACAAGGGAGTAGGGTGGAGAAAGAAAGACGAGGGAGAGAAAACGAGACACTTTTTCCCCCACAGATTTTCACGCAATTTTACAGCAGGGAGGAAGCTTTCTGGCAAAGTGTGCTCCGCCTTGGCAAAAAGAAAAATGACCACAATAAAGAGAGAGCACTGTCATCTGCCAAGACTACAGTGCACAGTTGTCAGGAAGCAGTAATTTAGCTATATGTTCCCACTCTAATCCTTGCTACAATGTGTCTCCAATATTTGATGAGTAAAAGCAGGATCCACAGTACAACACTGCCAGAACTGTCCCCTGGGCCGATTAGTGGTGTCTGAGGCAGTGTCCACATAAAACATTTAAATCTAAACATGCTGGATGTGAAAACTTCTGCTTCCACACGAACACTTTCAGGCAATTGTGAAATGTTGCTGCTCATACCAGGGACAACTGATTCATCTGTGAGTCAATTGGCATAAAAATAAAAATGCCCTGATGATGAAGACCCCTGATGAAAAACCGAGGAAGAGGAGGAGAGACCCTGCTCAGAGGAAGCCTGGGGCCCCCATCTGGAGCCAGGCCCAGAGGGAGGGCTCGCCGGCGAGCACCTGGTGGCCGGGCTTGCCACGGAGCCCAGCTGGGCACAGCCCGAAAAAGCAACGTGACACCCCCCTCTCCATCCTTTGGACCATAGGAAGATCCACCGGGTGCGCTGCCACATGGGTGGCGGTGAGGGTCAGGGGCATCGACAGACCAGACCCGGGCAGCAGAGGCTGGCTCTGGGGACGTGGAACGTCACCTCTCTGTAGGAGAAGGAGAAGGAACTTGTGCGGGAGATGGAGTGCTACCAGTTAGATCTGGTGGGGCTAACCTGCACGCACAGTCTCGGTTCTGGAACCGTACTCCTTGATAGGGGATGGACCCTATTCTTCTCTGGAGTCGCTCATGGTGGATTGGGGAAGGGCGGGTGTACCTCGAATATCCACTTCACTTGGGGTAAGGACTCATTCCCTACCTGGAGTTGGCACTCCACCGGTTTCCTGCTGAGAACCATGGCCACAGATTTAGAGGTGCTAATCCTTATCCCAACCGCTTCGCACTCTGCTGCGAACCGATCCAGTGAGAGCTAAAGGTCACGGACTGATGATGCCATCAGGACCACATCAACAACAAAAAGAAGTGACAAGCTCCCAAGCCCACCGAACCCCAACCCCTCCTCACCATGAGTACGCCTCGATATCCTGTCCAGGAATATCATAAACAGGAGTGGTGACAAAGCGCAGCCCTGGCGAAGGCCAGTCCTCACCTGGAAAGAGTCCGACTTACTGCCGAGTACTCGGACATAGCTCTCGCTTTGGATGTACAGGGATTGGATAGCCCTGAGAAGGGTCCCCCTCACCCCATACTCCCGCAGCACCTCCCACGTTATCTCCCGGGGGACCCGGTCATACGCCTTCTCCAGATCTACAAAGCACATGTAGACTGGATGGGCGTACTCCCAAGTCCACTCCAGGATCCTTGTGAGTGTAAAGAGCTGGTCCATTGTTCCACGACCAGGACGAAAACCACATTGCTCCTCTTCGATCTGAGGTTCGACTACCGTCTGAACCCGCCGTTCCAGCACCCTGGAGTAGACTAACTGGTCAAAGCTCTCGACCTACCGGTCAATTTTCGTTCCTACCCTAACCTATGGTCATGAAGGCTGAGTCATGACCGAAAGAACGAGATCGCGGATACAAGTGGCCAAAATGGGTTTCCTCAGGCGGGTGGCTGGTGTCTCCCTTAAAGATAGGGTGAGAAGCTCGGTCATCCGCGAGGAGCTCAGAGTAGAGCCGCTGCTCCTTTGCGTTGAAAGGAGTCAGCTGAGGTGGTTTGGGCATCTGGTGAGGATGCCTCCTGGATGCCTCCCTAGGGAGGTGTTACAGGCACGTCCAGCTGGGAGGAGGCCTCGGGGAAGACCCAGGACTAGGTGGAGAGATTATATCTCCACACTTGGCTGGGAACGCCTCGGGATCCCCCAGTCAGAGCTGGTTAATGTGGTTCGGGAAAAAGAAGTTTGGGGTCCCCTGCTGGAGTTTCTGCCCCCACGACCCGACCTCGGATAAGCGGATGAAGATGGATGGAGGGATGGACTTTGGGTTCTGGGAAAGGACATTTTGACATTTTATAGACTAAACGATTCATTAATCAAAAAATAATCTGCAGATTAATCGATAATGATAATAATCATAGATAAGTCATAAATGCTGCCAACTAACTAAGGCTATCACAAAGTTGCCAGTCATAGAGGTCAAAGGTATAGACAGCCTTATTTCTCATCTACTTTACTATGTGAGAATAGTGTTTCTTTCCAAATGTCTTGGCATTAGTGTGATTAAATGTCACCAATGAACAAACTCAATAAACTAACAAATGTCTTAAAGATAAGTGAGCGAAGAATCATACTACCAGACATCACCTTCAAACATTTCTTACATAGTGCTCAGCTAAAGGGAATGATGTCTCTTTAAGGAAGTGACTTGTCCTGCAACTGAGCCAGACACACGAAGCAGACAATGTGAAGAGGAAGAGAGAGCTGAGGATAAGGGCTTTCTCATGCTAATGACACTTCCACCCCCATTCAGACTGGCTTCATCCTAATGTGACTCCCACCTCCATCAGTCAGGCGTTCTTCGTGTAGATAGAGGGGACAGAAACATCAGTATTTGTTCTGTTTCTTCCAGAGGAACTGACAGAGTAGAGGGCTGTTGTTCACACTGTATATGTAAATATTCTACATGTACACACACAAACACAACTCCACAGTCTGTATTCAAATGACTAAAAACCTGTTACACACATGCCTGGCTGGATGAAGCCACAATAAGCCAATGAATTAACTTATCATACCTCTACTATCATACCTCAAAGAATAATTACTTTAGGTATAAATATGCATCTGTAAAGGCCAAGTTCAGGCTTAGACTTTATGGCTAATGATGTGTTTGGCCTACAAG